ACTCTGCAAAAAATCGGTTTTTTCTTTCGAAATAAATATTGTCGAAACTGTAAAAAATAGAAAAAAATGTTACGAATAAAAGTTGAATTTCAAAGTAGACTTCAAAAATACTTTATAATAATTTTAAAAAAATTGTTTACATAACAAATTTTTATTTATAAAAATAAAAATTAAAACATTTTTTTAATTATAGTTACTAGCGCTCTTAAAATTTTTTAACTTTTATTTCAAACATTTTTTTTTCTATCATTTACAGATATTCACTTCGTAACACAACTAGTTTCCTTCAAAGGTGTGTTGCACTCTCTAAAAATGCAATTGGGCTCTTACAAAAAAATAAGTATCTTTTTTTTTTGTTTAGAAAACGACGTATTTAAAGCTCATAAAAAATCAGAGGAGGATACTTCCATGAATTGTAAGAAGAGAATAGTTTAGTGAATATTTTCTTTATTTACAACCTAAATGTACTTTTGACATAACAAAGCGTAAAACAAAGGTAATTTGTTTCAATATACTTTCACAATTTTTAAGAGACCCTAACTGCAGCAATACATTTTTTTTTTTTAATTTATTTTACTATCTGATATTATTTAATATTTTTATTTTTAACATAACTTAACAATAGAGATTATTTAACGGAAACGGCTGTTACTATAGAAGCTATACAGGATGATCCGAAATAACATTTTAACCGCTTTTATGATCAGTTTGAATATGGTATTTTAAGAATGTCAAACAGTCCCATCAGAATTTACCGGACAAAATTTTATCAACGTCTTTGTTTGTCTAGCCTCCATATTATTCCGACAATTATTGACGGCCTTGGAATTTATACTCCCAATGCCACCATATTTATGGCCTGGTTTATTAAACCAGTATTACTCGAGTTATAAGATTTTTTTGTTTCTTTCCTGTTAAGTTTTCTTAGTCTCTACAGTCAGAATCCGAACTGTCTTAATCCTGCTAGTATTGTAGCTAACATGATTTAAGGACTGGTCGATAACGTTAGTTCTTGTTGGCCTTGATGAGCTACATATTTTTTACATATCGCTACTAATTACAGTTTTCTCAGACAGGTTTCGCTTCATTTTTTATCAATGCATTCAGGGTAAACCGTACAAAATATACACTTATTGTACATAATGGGAGAAATTTCTCCCCATGTCGATGCAATACGGAAATTATTTCGATTCCTCGAACGAAACTTGCCGATTTATGCTTTATTTACGACTGATATATCCTGCTATCACCATGAGCAGCAGCAACAGGTTCCTGTTGCGCAACGCCGACAAAAAAAGGATTCCTCGTATCGTATCGAATGCGTATTGCATTTCGCTTCGTAAGATTATCTCTGGTTATCTGATATTATGACATTCTCGGGATATCGAATAAAGTTCATGCAATTTTTTATGTCAAGAATAAAATAATTTTTTTGCCGATTTTTTTTTTATCACAAAAAATATATATTGAAGATAATTATTTTTTATATTAGATATAATTTACCAAAAACTGCGTAAAATATATATTTTTATGCTTACCGAGAATCCCAATTATCTTTGACTATGCGCGATTATTGAAATGTATTTCAACATGTATATGAAACAATGTGCACAGTTTCAAATCCTCAGAGATCCCAACGAAATGAGAAATTGGCACAAATGTGAATCTTGCCATGTCTTCACTTATTATTATTATTTGTACTTATTTTGCAGAATCTCTAGTCCTAGATTATTTTCATGTTTACATGTGTATATGAAAACATAAGATTTTAGAATTCCGGTTATTGTATAATTGCGCAGTTGATTGATAAAATGCTTGAAATTTGTAAACTCGATGCACTGATAAAATCAGATTTATATTTTTTAATGATATTTATCACAGTGCAAATATCGTAACTGAATTTAACTGCAGATCAGTTAACCGCAAATTCAATTGTTCATTATTTATCCGTTTGCACGTTGATTAATCTATTAACTAAAAAAGAAAAAAATTGAATGAGTTCTTCAAATTTCAAGACAACGGATGTGTGTTGCATGATTTATATAAATTAAATACATAGATCGGTATTCATAATCGGTTCTTATTAAGACCGTCTTAAGTAATGTTTTAAGATACTAATACAGTTTCCTAATTGATTCATCTTAAGACGATCTTGAATATAAGAACAGACTATGAATACTGGCCATAATTTCGTTCCCTTTATACATTAGTGTTTTTTAATATTTAAAGGTATCAAGATATGCGATCTTTATGGATTTATATTTAAGTGCTCATCTAGAATTAGATTTATAATTTTATATCGTTATCGTTTATATCGTGTGGTCATAAAAGGTTCACGTACACACACATTAAAAAACATTGTAGTTTCAGTACTTAAAAATAAAATACTTAAAAAAATTTATAGAATACCCACGACATAAAAAATTTTCTCTTTAAAAATATTGAAATATATTTTTAAACTTTTGTATTAATTAAATCCAAAAATATTAAATCATTGTTTCGTATAATTTATTGATACTAAACATTTTCTTGAACATAAAAAAAATGTAATAATGGCATTTTTTAACATGTTTATAATGTTTTAGTGACTACAGCATTTAGAAGATATCTTATTTTTATTTTTTATTTGTATTAAAGTTCACGTCCTCGCGATATATATACATGTGACATTTGTGTTATTTAAAGCATTTGAAATTTAACTTCCAGTACAAACAGAGAAAAAGAAAGCATAAAGAATTTATGTTGTTTATGGTGTGTTGTATGGAATGATGATACAAATCATGTGTAACGACTTACGTAAAAACGCTCGATAATCTATGAGTATGATATAACATATCTTACGTTATATTACGGTAGAAGTTCCATATTCGCAATGATTACGTGTTTTGTAAAACATATTACCATATATATGTATAATCATGATATCCAGATATACGAAATTCATGCTTGGATATCGCGAATACCAAAAAATCACAGAGAGCAAGATAATTCTTAGAATTATCTAAAATAAAAACGTTGAAAATAAATTTTTACTTTATTGTTTATTTTTTGCGACTAAGCGAATTTTACATCCACAAACGTGAAAACTGATATCAATGAAAATGAATTTTGGGCAGAATAAAAAATACGCGAAAGTGGAACTTTTGCTGTATTTGCAAGTTTTTACACATTTAGTCACGATCTTGTCGAATTAAAAAATGATAAACAAATCTTTTGTTAACATCATCTTATTTAAATTCTTTGTTATTTAAATTCTTCATTTGTAGATTATTTTTTATATTTCCAAACAATTATTAAATCAATTTATTTCATGGATATATCAATATTCGCGACTTGTGTCTACTGTCTAGCTCTATCAATTGAATTATAAATTCGAAACGAGAAATTTAATGAACTTTCACTACTAACATTTAAGTAAACCGGAAGGCAATTCGATTAAACATATATGTATATATATATATATATAACGCAAGAATATATGATATATTCTAGAAATTGGAGTAATTTAATAAATGGGCAGGGTAAGAGAGAGAAGTTGAAAATAATGTAAATTATATAGTAACATACATGTATACACTTCACTGCGTTTGTAAGTAGTATAGTAATAAGTACATCTGGAAGTAGTGAAGCATGTAACTTAATTATGTAAGTTATTTGATGGATTCATATATAACGCACATAGTACAAAAGTGTTTTAGCTTTATGTACTGATAGTTATGTAACATTAGATGTATTTGATATGTAATTAAAAAAAGAAAAAATAAATTATTCTGGATATGTATTGCGAATCAAGTTGTGCATAAATTATTTCAATCATAATGTAGATGTGATTTAGGTCTTTCTGATTGCTTATCAAGTATTTTTCTATCGATATTTCATTAATATTATTAAATCGTATTCATTAATATTAGATAGTATAGATAGTAATAGATTAATATTCCCTATATATAAATTATCAATGTACACATATATACATTTTACATCTCACTGATTTGTAAAAGTTTTTCATTTTGATTGCTTGCTTGATTGTGAACTATAAGAATAGTTAAATACTTGCAAAACTTTTGCCTTTTTTATTTCTTTCTTGATTAAAATATTTATTTGAATATTTCAATATATCTTTATATAAAAATGAAGATAAAAATACAAACTCAATAATATTTTATAAGTTTTATGAGACCATTTGATTTTAAAATATATTTATTGATTTTCTAAATTATAAATGGAACGAAAAAAGTTATAAGTTTATTTTTTAAAGTGATAAATAAAAAATTTATTTTTTTCGTCGCTCATATTTTAATATTTTGAGTAAAAATATTTTACATCTTTTTATATAATAATACTGTCAACATTATACACACACACACACATATATATAGATATATATATTTATTTATTTATTTAATATATACAATTATTTAAAAAATATTGCACCAAGAATTCATCTTTACAATATTTTTGTTTTTACAATATTAAGATTTGAATACAATTTTGAACTGTTAAAAATATCACGAAATTTAATGTACTTTTAAATTATACAAGTTAAATTTAATTTCATAATATTACATTAAAATTAATATATCTGCAACTAAAAAGTATTTGTGTACATATACATGAAATTTAGCGTACTTTTCATAAAATTTTACGAAGTTTAGTACATTTTTTATTAAATTTTATATAGATTTGCATGAAATTTAATATATAAGTAAATATTAAATTTAAATTACTTTATTTTCATTGAGACAATATTAAATATTTTTAATGTACCTGCTTGAAATTTGCTTCCATTATATGTAATGGAAGCAAATCTTGTTTTAATAGTGTAGAGGTAATCGCTTATTGTAGAAAGTCTTATATTTAAGACTACTTAATAATTTAGTTTTCAATTAAACTATTCGTTAGATATTTTTTCTCAGTTACATCATACCCATAAATTTCCCTTATATTACTTAAATTCATAATGAAATGAATTTCTAACTGTGAATATAATTTGTTGCCTATTATACATATACATAACATGTTGCATTATATTGGAAAGAATTAGATTGAATTGCATTAAAAGAGCCGATATAAAACGCCTAAAATTATCTAAACACCTTTAACAAGGTCTAATGATACGTCAGGTATAATTTTTGAAAAATTGTAACAATTGTTTGGAGTAGGAGCAGTTTAAGGAAATTGTAAGCTATTTCGAAATTCTAGACTTTTTTACACTTTCTCCTGACTTTTCCTGGTTTTCCATGATCAATTTCAATTTCCTTAATTTTTCCTGGTTTTTCAGGTCTATAGTAACCCTGAATTATATTATGTTTGTCTTGCATCATTAATGGTAGCTGGTACTCTTACTTCAATGCCGTCGAGTTCCTCAGTCATGATTATCTGACAGCCCAATCTCGAACTATAATTAAATATATATATTTAAAACAGTGACAAGTAAAAAATATATAACTGAATGATAAATAAAATAAGTTTACTACATGCTTAAAAAAAATATAAAAAATGCGAAAATATAATGGCAGTAGAAAAGAGACTGAGACAATTAATTTGAATAACAAATCAAGCGATGTTTGACCCTGATAGGCTTCTACTTAAAGCAAATTTTATTCAAAATCATCCTTTAGGGATAAGTATAAGAAGTTAATTCATGAATAAATGTAGGAGACATTATAAAGTGAGATTTAGAGAATGTTTCTTTCTCTCTCTCTCTCTCTCTCTCTCTCTCTCTCTCTCTCTCTCTCTCTCTCATTCGTATAGATCTTTTATTAGCATATAAAACATTTCTCAAGAAAGAGAGAAAGAGTACAATTCGAATAAACATACGTTGGTGCTCGCTCTTGTGCCAAATCCAGCATATCAATTTCTTCTTCTGTAGGTTTATCTGGAAGATTATCAAACACATCCTTAGGAAAAATTAAATGACAAGTGCTGCACGTTAGTGTTCCTTCACAAGCTCCTATATTCAAGGTAGAAAAATATGCTTCATCAAACTTGTGCATGATTATTAAGAACAAAAAAATTTTTGTATAAAACATTCATACCATAACCATCCAACTCAAGGTCATTGTTCACAACAATATCTAAAATATTGTTTCCAATTTCTCCTTTTGCTTTTATCCTTTCTCCATTGGCTTTAATAAATGTTACAGTAATCCTGAAAAAAATATATTTATTTTTGGTATTTCGCCTGAATCGTTTTACCAACGAAAGTTTAATTTTACTTAAATATTCACGAATTAATAATTCTTAGCAACGCAAATTTTTAATTAATTATTTACACATTGCTAAAGTTAGACATAATTTTATCTAGAAATTTGTAATTTTGTTTAGTTAAACATATTTAAAAATATCTCGTGATATTAGAAATTTTTCTTCGCAGCAACTTTTACAAGGCATTTTTTGAGATTTTCAACAAAAAGAAAAAGTTATTAATAACATTTAACAATACTAATCTTACTAATTATCTTGACGCTACAATGTCAAGTAGAAAGCGGCTGAGTATATAAAGAACTTCAACTACTTTGACCAAACTCTGATTATCGGCAATTAACTTGTCAAGTGTAACTTAGTGCTCTAACGTGAACAGAATTATTACTATTTGTTATCTGACAAGTGAGAAGAAATTAGATTAGAAATGATGAATTTCAATGTACAAGTTCGTAAACAATTTTGCTTGATTGAACTGAGCAGCAATTAAATTAATTCGAACTTGGTCGAAGTTACTTAAAAGTTCCAAACCCTTCTGTTCCGAGAGAACGGTCGTTGTCTCAATTTTTTTTTACTTACTCTTTATTCTTAAAAAGCGGTCGCACGAGAGACACAGTTCTCGCGGGGACAACTTGACTAGACACGTACGTGTATGCGTAATTCGTTCCTAAGACAAAAGACGATCGTAATCCCCGCATCAGTGCCATTATCCAATATCAAGCATCAAATCGCTCGCACGGATACACGAGTGTTTTTTTTATTCAGGACGTAGCCGAAATCAAGTTTGAGGGACCACGTTGGAACGCGTATCCACGCGTAGTTCGGATCGTAATACGTCTGCGCAAACGCACAATCCGTTCTTATAAACACCGCGATAAGGGCTGGCTTCACCACCCGCAATCGACACCAAAGTGATGAATTTTCACCGAAACACGGCGCGCCGATCTTGTCCCTCGCACACTGTCCGATTCAAGGCGATAGCTCGACACGTTAATCCCCTGACGAATCAATTCCGTGACTGATCCATCGGATCCATCGAATCCATGTGCTACCATGTGCCAAGCATGCCAAAGCATGCCAAGCATTGGAAAGTAAAAATTCTCCGAACTGATTCTGCGCGCATGCGTGGGCTACGTCATTGCATACAAGTATGTAATCGGTTTCACAATACCGAAATGCTACGCTAGCATTTCTGTTCTTCTCTTCCCTTAACGCTCGTGACTATTGTTAATTTATTAAATTCGTAAAATATTCTACTATGACGATGTTAATAATGTGCAACGTAAATGTATGCAGGCTAAATCATACAGATTCTAATATTGTACGAATCAAATCAAATAAAAATGCATGATTTTGTCGTCCTCTTAGATGTTACGATTGAATTTTCATAATCTTCCTTGGTTAGGGGAATATTAAAATTTCAAATGCTTTGCGTTAAGAACAAAGTAACTTTTATTCAAGACACACTTTCTTTTCAAACACTTCTCTTCTAAAATCATCCAAGTTGTAAGTTATGAGAATATTCTTTCATTTATGTACCATAAATATAAAAAACCGTATACAACTGTAACATTACGTCAAACATTACATTAAATTTCACTAAAAATCGTTCTAATAATTGTCTACCTCTGTATTCCGTAAGTCGTTAAGCAATCGTTATGTGTTCACGACTGCATAATGAGTTACAGAATACATAGGCTGGGTAGGGATAAAAACAATAGAAAGTCTTCACAAGGAGTATCTGGCTTTCCGTTTATTTGCAAATAAAGTACAGCTACATTAATCTAATTACAGACAAAAATGCTTCTTAGATACAAAGAAATTTGTTTACATTAAGTGAACGAGAAATTGATATTTCTAATATTGTATTAGAGAACATTAGTATTATACACTCTAAAATTTTTCATCAGCAAAGTATTTACTAAAATAATCGATAACAGTCACACATATGAAATTACAATTTAATTTAAGTATTGGCAAAAAATCATATAATCCTAAAGTGCAGAATTTATTACGTGATCGATAATCTATATTTAAATTGTGCTTACATGAGATGCACACATTGCTCAGTCGCTTTCCTCCAAGCTAATAACTGAAAATTGAAATTTGTATATTTTATTATTTCACGTATTGTGTATATATGTATTATATATATATATAATTATGTTTCGACAATGTCAATGACAGTCCTTCGGCAACATATGATATCAATGATACAGTACTTCTATATGTATGTATACATTTATATTAAAATTACATAAGTTGAAAATTGTAAGATTTAGATATATTATAATTGATACATGTTTTCAACTGAAGAAGAAGATACAATACAAATGTAAAAATGAAACAGTAATAATGATTAAATATTTCGCACGAGTAGCACATTATGCACAGAAATTGTTTTTGCTTAATTAAAGAAAATATATCTTGAAAAAAATGTATATTTGCATGATTCTATAAAAACAGTCAATTGAACGAGATTTGGAAGAAAGTGAAACGGACATAACAGAAAATGAATCAAATAAATGGAAAATGTATAACAAAAGACAATTTTCGACGATAATATTAAGCTCGAAAAACATCTGTCTTTTCGATCTTAATTTTTTACATCTTTAATTTTATTATTACCGCTTTTATCTTCGAGGATCTCGCTCTTCTCAGTTTCTTTTTCTTTTCCGGGCTGTTTCTTGTCCGAATTACGAAAACGATCGTAACGCGAATCTTCATCATCGCTCGATTTTGATGCTCCCGCCTCGCTCTCTCTTAAAATATCACCTAAATCCTTGTCGACATCGTCCCAAATCATTTTATCGCTACCGTGCGCACGGTAGTCGTCGTCATCTTCATCCCCCTGATTATTCTTGCTGTCTTTCGCATTCTTTTCAGATTCTAAGCTATTCGATTTTTCTTCTTCAATTTTAATATATTCTGTGCCGCAAACGCTGTTATTATCAGCCGCAGTAGAGACTGGTGTAGCAGATACTTGTGGCTCGGAACTGACAGGAGAAGTCTTTGCATTATCCGATGTATTATTAGTCACGGTGGAATTGGTAGAATTCACATTCGTTGAAGATGACGATTGCAGATGTATTCTTTCCGCTTGACGTCTAAGCGCCTTATCATCATTATCTCGCACATACCTACAACACATATACGATATTGTAAATACCACTAATAGTTTACCTACCGATTATCTTATCCTGTTGAACAATGACGATATACCGTTTAAGATGACTGCGAGTGGAACAATGTAAAGCGACTGCTCGCTCTGTATTTTCGCTGCGTGGCAGATATACTTTACATAACTCGCAGTATTGTACTTCGACACGTTTTATATATTCCGCACCAACTTTTATCATCTGTTTGCCCTTTGATTTTTTTTCCGCTTCGCTTGAACTTTCACCCTCGGCTTTTTCTTTCTTCTTGTCGTTAGTCTCCTCGTCTTCTGTAAACAATAATGTAACATAAAACAAAGTGATATTAGATTTAACTGTGAAGATGCTTTGACACAAATTAGGATCATATTTCGTACATTTTTGTTACATACCATCTACATCACCTACAGAATCCAAAGTCATAAAATTATCAAGATTGACTTCCTTATCATCTTCTTCCGGTGCGCTTGAATCTGCCTCTGCTTCACCGCTTCCATTTGCATTCATTCTTTCTCTCAGTATGCTCTTTCTCTGATAAAAGAGAAAAGAACAATCGATTTATATTAGTCTTATCACACCAATAAAAAATTAGTAATAATTATCAAAATAATTATCAAAATATTAAGAGTTACCTTGATGTGTTCTAGGGAACACATATGTGTCTCAAAGAACATTGGCGATCGGAATTGGATACGACAAACACGACAGAATGGTGTGAGGAATCGTTTCATTTGGCGATGAGATTCAGACAGTTGATGAGCAGCTTTCAAGGAACGGTAATTTAATTTGCAAATAGCACAAAACATAGTGCGAGAAGGTAGGGTGCCGCGTGCTGCATCACGAGCTTCGATACGTCTCTGCTCTTGCCGTTGAACAACTCGCATACGTGTAAGAGTGACCTTATGTCGAGCTGCAATACGTTTCATCGCCGCGCTATGACGTCCAGAGAATAGATGGAGCGAATATTCTTTGAATGTAACGCTGTGATGGGCGCAATGCGGGCATTTCAATTTTATAAATTTTCTACCGTCCCGTCTGCTTGGCAATTCTTCGGAATCTTCATTTCTATCGCGTTCCGCTTTTTCATTTTCATCACGTTCCTCATCATCACCATCTTCATCCTCCTACAAATTCAATAAAATAGAACAAACCAATAAAATAGTAATAACAACAGTATGCCCATTTTAATAATAATAGGGCTGAAACACTCACTTCTCGCTTCTGATCGTCATCTTCTTTAATATCATCATCCTTTTCTTCCTCATCTTCGGTATGTTGCCTTTCTCTGTCTTGCTTCTCCTTCTTACGTTTATCTTCTTTTTTCTTCTTCTCATCTTCCTCTTCTATATCCTCTTCATCGCGTTCATGTGGCTGCACAATGTCGATGCACAATGAATATCATAAAATTATTCAAATGTAAGAGAATGTGTGTTGTCATCATATTTAAAAACATTAGATAAAATATATATTTAATATGCTATTAAATATATGAACAAACTCAGCGAGTCCAACGTTAAGAATTTAATGCTAGATATTCGGTACCATGCGATTTTAATACGAGCACTAACGATTAAAATTAATTCGTGGAAATTAAATTTTAACAATGTATGTAATAGTGTAAATAATAGGGTAAATAAATAATAGTGTAATAGTGTAATAATGTAAATGTCCTTTGTGATTTTTAATACTTATATTATACATAATTTGTAATCGCATTACATAATATATTTAAAGCCAGGATTATAAACAATAAGTTTGTCTAACGCCACTGCTAAATTACCTTTTCTTCGTCGTCCCAATTACTCTTATTATCATCTTCCTCGTCATCGTCATCGGAAAATTCTGCATTAATGGCTTTGGCCATCTCTCTATCCTTGTCCTTCACGCTGGTCCCGGATCCCGAGTCCTTTTTACTTCCGGGTAGCCTAGTAGTACCGCTACTAATGACACAGCAATTTTGTTTTGACTTATATTATTTTCCAGCATTCCATTTTCGTGCTTCTTTGTCTTTCGTTGTATCATCGAGCAAGACTTGCTTATAGATGATACGTAGAAAATATCGCGATAGTATCGGTTTAATATCTCGGCTTTATATCCCAAAATGTGAAATGCGTTTCGTAGTGTACGCTAAAAGTGTCTATTATTCATTTTTCTTTATTTTTCATCGCGTTCTGATATCTTCGCACACTCTCGGTCGTGCCAAAAAATATGATATGAATAGTATATAGTCATACCGCTATAAACTCTAAAGAGAATTATGTCTCATGACGAGTTAAGTACAATTATTTTAGCTCTCGTATCGAAAGTTATTACATTGCGTTTATACATATCATCACTGATTTCTTCTTTATTAGAAAAAAGCTCTCTTTCTCTCTGTCGGCAGTGGAATTTGTTTCATGATTGTTTGCATCTTGACTGTTTATCAATCGATTTACTTAGGCATTTATTCACGCATGTATATTTTGTCCGTTCGCTTTCATAAATTATCTTGTGACACTCAGGTCATCGACCGAGAGTCGGTTTGCATGAACCGACTTCAAAGAAGAATATTCAAGCAGGCTACGAAGATAGTATTTGCGTACGATTTTTTTTTTTTGGTAAGTGACTGTATTAATAAATTACCTCCTGCGTAGTTTAGTAGTAGTCATGCGCACACGCTGGATGTAGTCTCGTGAGCGTGAGCCTAGCAGCTTTCGACGATAGTCGAGCGAGTGCAGAGTACGCTTGCGAGCCATGAGGACGTCCGATCGAGAGCTCACACGATGAAATGCACCACCTCTACCACCGGTGCCGCGGGTCGAAATGCGACCTCTGTAATTCGAACTCTGATGCGATATTCTTCCTCGACTCGAGGTGTATCTCTGAGTCGGTGGCGGTGCCATTTCGCTAATCCGAGGGGGTGGCGGAGGCGCATAGCTCCG